ACATAGATAGACGACAGGTAGATGAGATAGATGATAGATACAGACATGGACAGACGGATGGATACATAGATGCTAGATACATGGATGAATTGACAGACAGATGAGGGATAGACAGACGGATGGATGGACAGATGGACAGATAGATGACAGATCCATAGATGGATGGATGGACAGGTGGACGGATGGACAGATGGACGGATGGACAGATAGATAAGGCAGTCACGCATAGCGGCCCACACCTTTAATTCCAGAGCTTGGGAGGCAGAGGCCAGTGGACCTCTGTGAGTTCAAAGGCAGCCTGGTCTACACAGTGAGCTGCAGGACAGCTACACAGGGAGACTGTGTCAGAAAGCAGCAACCAACAAACAAGAGAACGAGCTAAAAAGGCAGCCGAAGGCCAAGCACTACGGTCCTGGCCTGCAAGGCCTGCATCAGGAGTGGAGGCCAGGCCACGGGGAGTGCGAGGCCAGCCGGGGCTACAGGGAGCCTGTCTCAACACCAGACGGAGCCGCCTCCAGCCCGCGGGCGCGACATCCCAGCAAGGCCGCCGAGCCGGTCACCTTGACGTAGGGGTTCTCCATCCACGCCGGCGTGTGGGCCGTGGCGGTGTCAGCCTCGCTCTCGTAATAGAAGACGGTGAAGGTCTCCTTGCAGGAGCGGCCGGCCCTGGGCAGGGACAGGCACTCCATCATGGTGAACCGCAGCGTGGCGTACACGTGGACGGCCCCGCGCCGCGGCACCCAGCCGGTGCGCAGCCAGTGCGCCTGGCCGCCGGGGCGCCTCAGGTCGCACACCTCATAGGTGCGGACGCTGTGCTGCTCGTCGTCCAGGCCGCTCAGCTCCTCCCACTGCAAAGAGCGTGTGCCGGTCAGGGCCTTGGTGCCGGTCAGGGCCTCGGTCAGTCAGGGCCTCGGTCAGTCAGGGCCTCCGGCAGTCAGGGCCTCGGTCAGTCAGGGCCTCGGTGCCGGTCAGGGCCTTGGTGCCGGTCAGGGCCTCCGCCAGTCAGGGCCTCGGTGCCGGTCAGGGCCTTGGTGCCGGTCAGGGCCTCCGTCAGTCAGGGCCTCGGTCAGTCAGGGCCTCCGTCAGTCAGGGCCTCGGTGCCGGTCAGGGCCTTGGTGCCGGTCAGGGCCTCCGCCAGTCAGGGCCTCGGTGCCGGTCAGGGCCTTGGTGCCGGTCAGGGCCTCGGTCAGTCAGGGCCTCGGTCAGTCAGGGCCTCCGTCAGTCAGGGCCTCCGGCAGTCAGGGCCTCGGTCAGTCAGGGCCTC